AACGCACTGCCCCAAAATGGCGTCCAAACATGGCGGACTGACGACTTTGACTTTAGTTAGTTTTTTGGTCACTAAGAATCAGCATTAGGCTTAATTTCGTCATAATTGGTCTTTTATTAAAACTGGATAATCAGAGAATAATATAACATGAAAATTTTTTTAAAAATAATTGGCTCAGACAATAAAAACACCAGTAAAGTCAATATTTTTCAAGTTGAAAATCAAGCGTCGTTTGTAATTAAACGGGCAACAATAACGCAAAACGCGTCGAAATAAAACCTCTGAAGAATGTATTTCTCTTTCTAAAACACTTATTACTTTTTAAAATATTTGAAGTGGTTCCGTAGAAAATGCACTTAAGCGGCAGAAAAGGGGTACCGGCGTGGGTGCCTACAGGCCTCAGCCAACACCATTCGGTTCTCATGAATGGCTTAGTTATAGTGCTATAATAACGTTTTTGTTACATTATATTGATTGTATTGACGAAAAAATATTAATACAATAACTTAATTGTCCAAAAAATTTATTTAAAAAAATGTTGAATTTATTTATTTTTTTTTAAATTTAATTTCCTTTATTCTATAGGAAGGTCGTTTAAGAAGGTCTCTATAGTAAAAATGATATAATAATAATAATAAAACTTGATTCAAAAATACTTTGCTGAATATAAAAAAATAGGAAATTTTAATATTGAATGCATTATTCTCTATGTATAAAGAAAGATGGAAAGGTCGAAGCTATAAGTTCTTCTAGGTAACTGGAACTGATTGTTAATATTTGATCTCAAAATGAGAGAGAACGCGAAAATGAAACCTGGAAAAATTTTAAAATACATTAAGTGAACAAGAAGGGAACTGCAAAAATCTTGGAAAAGAAAACAAGGATCAGTATCCATTATATGGCTAAACGAATATATAATAGACAGATGAACAGAATATTTCAAGATTCTACTAAAAGGGGGTGAAATTTTGGAGCAGTTTGGATGATATTAAGGGAACAATCCAGGTTTTTTATTTTGAAGACCATTTTATTAAGAAGAAATATTTGTTGGAAGCAATTGGCAAGTTAGCAGGCCTGGACGAAGTAAACGAAGTTCATTATGGTGTAAACAACTTTATTTTCGATTGATACTGAAGTTGCACATTGGGACTATCTTCACATTGAAGCAGGTTATAGAGATCTCTTTCAAGAAATGGAAATAACTCTCCTTCTGTTTAGAATATTTGCAAAAGATTTTTGAAGAAATCTGAAAGGAAAGCGAGCATTTTTGAAAGATTAGTAGATATTAGCACAATCCAAAGTATGCGGCAATAAGCAGACAGAGAGCTATTTTTCTTTCTTGATAGATCTCTCTATAACCCATCTTAAAGTAAAGACAGTCCATATTTGCAACTTCTGTTCCAATGTGCAACTTGAGTTTCTCAATACATATTCCTCTGACAATCGACAATATTTCTTATCATAACTTCTACGATTCTTGAGTAGAGTTTCTTTGGTTCACTTAACAAGAATGAATCTCGATGGTTATTACATTTTGTAGTATCCCCTTTCATATAAAGGAACAAAACTACAGTCCTTTTATATAATTTTCCAATACATTTGTTGCCTATGCAGTAGTTCGGTTTACTTCGTCCAGACCAGGTGATTTGCCAATAGTTTCGAACAAATCTTTCTTGCTAACACTAGCGGATCCAGGATTTAATTTTGGGGGGAGGCTTCAGCCCGAAAGTTCTTTTTTTCATAAAAATAACGATAATTACTTTGGAAAAAAAGAAAGAAGCTAACTACCTGTATGAAATGGTGTTTAAGTGATTCCTAAAGCCCTTTTAAATTTAATTACACGAACAATAATACTTTAAGAGATACTTTTTAAATATTTTTTTCGATAAAATATGGTTATATTTTAGCATTTTGGGGAGGCTTCAGCCCGAAAGCACCCCCCCCCCCGTAGATCCGCCCGTGCTTACTAATAAAATGGTCTTCACCATAAAAAACCTGCATTGTCCCCTTATTATCATCCAAACTGCTCCAAAATTTGACCACCTTTTAGCAGCATCTTGAAATATTCAGTTCATCTGTCTACTACATATTCGTTTAGCTATATAATGATGGATATTGATTCTTGTTTTATTTTCCCAGATTGGGGCACTTCCTTTCTCGTTCGCTTAATCTATTTTTCCAATTTTTGGGTTTCATTTTCGTGTTTTCTCTCATTTTGAGACCAAATACTAACAATCAGTTCCGGTTACCTAAAAGAACTTATAGCTTCGCCCTTCCCATCTTTCTTTGTGCAGAGAGAATAATGCATTCAATATTAAAATTTCTTATTTTTTATATGGTCCAACTTCCGAACAAAATAAAGGAAATAAATTTTTTTTTTTATTAGTGATATATGAGTTCCACTAAACAACCCATCAAATATTCATTATATTTAGTTCAGATTAGCTATATATTATTTTAGTTTATAAAACCGGTATTAATATGACTCACTTCCGGGAAAGTATATAGAATTTAAATTATATTTAGGAAATTAAATTTTTAAAAAAATAATAATAAATTTTAAATTTTTTTTTTAATTTTTTGGACAATTAAATTATGGCATTAATATTTGTTCGTCAATACAATCAATATAATGTAACAAAAACGTTATTATAGCACTATAATTAAACCATTTATGAGCACTGAACGGTGTGGTTGAGGCCTGTAGGCACCCACTCCGGTACCCCTTTTCTGCCACTTACAATCTTTCTCAAGTGTTCAGAGATCACATTCACACTCTATGTACAATAAATTATACAGAAAGATAATATATATACAATAAATAAAAATAAAATAACCTAAAAATAAATAAATAAAAAAGAACACATGCATACCTATATACACTATTTACAATCAGGCGAGAGAACTCCGAGCCAGACTTGTCCCTCCAACTGTGGACTGCGCTAAACCAAGTGGAGATTGTGGCTTTAGCCACATAAACTCATGTCATGAGAGGAGAATCTGGCCATTGTCAGGATTCCAATATTTACAAACTATGAAAGGTCACTGCCTTTTAAATCTTCTTGGAGAATTACAGAGATGGGTGGTGCAGGATAGGACCGATCTTCAGAAGCGCTTGTCACTTGATAGAAAGAAAAAAAAAATACGAAACGTATTAAAATAATTAATGTAAGCCTGTCAACAAAGCAGCTGTATGACAAAAATGTTTAATGATATAAAATTCAAAGGTACTTTTTGACTAGCAGGCCGGCACTGACTGCTATCTGCCAATGTTTATAACCTGAACACTGATAATTTCGATAACGCTGTGATAAGCCTTCTCCTACTTCCTATCTTCGTATTATTGTATTATATTCGTATTATTGAAAGTGTAAACAGATACAAAAACAAATGTAATAACAAAAAAAAACTTTTATTTTACGACACATATATTAATGAAATAATAAAAAAACACTTTAAGAAGATGTGTACATATAAAACATCAAAATGAAATAATAAAAAAACACTTGAAGAACACATGTAGATATGAAAGATGAAAATGAAATGATGAAAAAACATATAAAGAACATATTTACATAGAAAAGAAAAAATAACAACACTACGAACAACATATGTACAAATTTATTTTGGAAGGCAAAATTGTGTTATGCTACTTAAAATAGCGAGGAACGGATCCTCTTCTCTGTGAACCCGCCGCCACAAAAATTTGCACAAATATGAATCGAGGTGTTGTCTGGCAGTTCCTCTATGTATTTTATTTCTCCACTTCGCTGAGCTCCATAATCGTTTTCACGTCTGCAAGTATCCCAACATTTTGAAAATATTGAATTGCCTGTTCTTCTGAAGAGGGCAAATCCCATATTCTAAGAAGATCCATAATATGACGAAAATAAACGGAAAAAAAATAAAAATAAACACAAAGGAGCCACAAACTAAAAAAAATTAAAAATAAACACAAAACGGCCAAAAAATAAAATTAATCAAAAATAAACACAAACGGGCCAAAAGTAAAGAATTTAATAAGTGAACAACTGAAAACTAAACAATGTAATAACTCAAAGGTTTGGTGGGATAAGAAGAGGGAGGTTATGTGAGTGACGTTAGATAAGATAGATAGGAAGTGAGGTTTCGTGCCGGCCTGCTAGTCAAAAAGTACCAAGTCCAAATATTGCATAATATAAAACAGCTTAGTGAATAAAGTTAATTTTTAGTGAGGGGGGAGGGGAGAGATGTCATTGCCATGGGCACAGAATGTTTAAGGATGGCACTGGATGGGATAGCACATAATTTTGTGAGACTAAGCTGTCTTCTGGAAGAAGAAAGAGTCAGAATTTCAAAGCTTGAGCAGGTGAGCTGTTAATGAGAATAACAATTGTGGCTTTGGACAGGCATTTACTCAGTAACTTTCCGTATCTCTTCTTAATAATAATTGAGCTAGAAACTATTAATGATTACTAAACAAGATGAGTTAATAATTATATTTGTCTATTGGTTTTGTCAAATACTGTTTGTATTTCAAAGGAACAAGACAAATTTTATAGTTATATTGCTGGTTATAACTTCAATTTGTAGGGACCAAGTGCCTATTTAACTTGATCCATCCAGTTCGCCTCCTTTCTTCTCCTTACTTGAGCCATTTTTGTAAATAAAAGAGGAATTTCTAGAAAGAGAACATTTACATACAACACCACAATCTACAGCTTTAGCTAACTCATAGAAACCAGCACATAGGAAAAACAATTTACTTAAGGCTAATAATATCTGTCAGCCCTTACTACATTCCATAAATTAAGCTTAATTTTAATAATCAATTTAACTAGATAAAATATTTTAACTATTCTCACAATAGTTAAACAAGGATCCTTGACTTGTTAAAGATCATTAATCAAATGTCAAGAGTTATGTAAGAAGCATTTAAAAATTAATCCCCTACACCTGTCAATTAATATCAGTCTAACTTTTGCAAGAGATCAAGGTGAAATAAAACTCAGAAAACTTTCTACAGCTGTGTCTATCGTTCCATATATTTAAAAAAAAAAATACTATTGGAATTGATCAAAGCTGGAATTTAAACTCCACATTTTCTTCCTGTGGCATAATAGTAATAATAATAAATTTAAAAAACTGAACAATACATTTTCAATTTAGGAATTTATAATAGTTTTCACAACAGCAAACTTACATGAACATGCATCAAATTTCCTCACATACAATAAATTAGCCCTTAATTGAACAGTTTCTGTATGATTTTCTCCTTTTTCTTTGTATGTTATGTGTATGTGACTGTAATTAATTGTACACATAAACAAACTACTAAATTAATCAAAAAAATTGTTTCTATTTATAATATGAATCTATATTTAAGCAAACATGTGTGTTTTATAACATGACGTGCTTACACAAATTCATCAAATCTTAAATTTTAATGTAAAATTAAATAATGCTTATCAAACATTATCATACATACAGATAAAAATCTAAATGAAAGTTTTGGTTTTGAAATTATTCCTTTGATATGCCATTTCTAGCTGATCCATTTTAATGTGTACTGAAAAATAAATTTTGACAGAAAATCAAATGATGTATTTTAGGATATACTATACACTTGGATGAAAAAAATATTAAGCTAATTAATTAATTTTATAGTATGACTATTACTAAAAAATATATTAAATTTTCTTAGATAATATGTAATTACATGGCTTTAGATATTTAATAATAGAAAAACATTAGCTGTTGAGTAAATTAATATGCTCGTCAAATAGATTAAGAAAGAAAATATAAACAAATGGTAATAAATAAAACTCATAATGTATTGGTATTTTAGTTGGTTGGTTTATTTATAATCACATTTAAAAACTTAAATTTCAGTCATTGCCATTTCATGCATCTATTATAATATTAACAAAGAAAATATAAATAATTACATATCAATCCATTGGACAAATAATTACAAACAGTTTGGCACAGATGACAATTTGTTTTTCTGTTTCTTAGGAGTGTGAGCATGGTTAACGTTCCTCAAAGATCAAGTACTGAATTGAGATAGAGCAAAAACTATTCAAGTTCATAAATACATGATAAGCTCATCATTATAGGAAATATAGAAAGCTACAATACAGCTGCAAAAACATGGTTTAAAAAAAAATATATTAAAAGAATATTTACATTTTATATAATCAAATTAACACTATAATCCCTAAAAGCAAGTAACAGACAATATATACATAAAACATAATCGTCTATTTAATATACTGGGAAAGTTTAAAAAAAAATAAAATCAAAACATAACTCTCGATTAATCATACCCGGGACTTAATAAAAAATAAGTACTAACAGTAATCAGGCATATTCATTAATATGACAGATTTATTTAAATATATCATTACAAGTAATATCCATCAATTAAAACAAGCTATTAAAAATTACAAGTTATGTGAATGTTACCTGATTCCTTATGACACCAAATTTAGTAATTAAAAATGGAAAGTAATTTACAAAAAACAAGAAAAGCACAAATACATATTATTCACAAAATAAAGAAATAGATAAATGATTGTTGGTGGTGTGGTGAAGACTTATAAATTTTAACACTGACCCATTTAATACCATTTATTTTAATTTCTTTGATAATGAAGAAATTGGAAATATGTGTAGTATTAATTTCATATTGTTGGTTAATTTAAACATAAAACAAAAATAGTAATTATACAAATACATTAGATTTCATCACATTTAAACATTTAACAACTTTCTTAAAATGTTTATTTTCTAAACTGTTATCACAACCAACTTTAAATATTTAGTATAGATGTGAGTAATATTATTTTAGATTAAAATTTACTGAACTTCAATTATATTTCAATAAGACCAAATAAAAAATGATAAGTTAATTGTGCATTTTTTCTACATACAAATACAATACTAAAGAAAAAATAAAACACCTCTGATTGAATATACATATAAGATAATGGATTTTGAGAACATAAGTATTAGGCATGAACTGTTTCACAAGGAAATATATAAAAAGTACCCTGTGAAGCAGCAAGGCAAATACTCAAATTCTTATTTTTATTAAATATTTTCCATTGAAGGTAGTTTTAGTTACATATAGCATTATGGACAAAAGAGCATATAACTTAATATCACTCCACCAACACTTTTAATAATATTTCTAAAATAACTTTACTCAAAACAAATAAATAAATAAAAATTACTTTTTACAAAGCTATTGTACTTATAATAATACACTTAGTTCAATATATCAGGCATGCCAAACAGGTGGATAATAGGGCTATTTCGATTATTATAACTTAAAATACATAATATCTACTTTTAAACATAAAAATTCATCTTTTAACCCACGCCACTGCTAAGAATTCAAAGTTTATCATTAATGTCAATTAGATAAATTCATTGTAAGAATTAAAAAAATTATTACTTGATAATATTTAATATTATAAAATTAAATAACAATCTGAACAATAAATTAGATTAAATTATAAAAATAAGAAAAGCAACTTAAAGCATAACCAGAATGTTAAAAAATTTAAATAACACATAGACCAGAAGTAAATCATTGGGAATGAAACAAATATATACTAAACGAATATATATAAATTAACATAGATATTCTGAAAAGTCTTACGAACTAAAGAAGTTAACTACAATAATCGAACAATAAAATTGTTGACATTTCTTTGTTTAGAACAACATAATATTGTAACAAATAAAATAAATGAATTCCCTAGTGGAATTGTGGTATACTTAACTTCATCCTAATTAAACTTGCAGATGCCTATCAAACATATATTATATCCTTTTTATACAGATAAGCAATAATTGTAATTTAATTAATTCATGAAGATCAACTAATATATATATATATACACTTTGATAGTATTTCATAAACATCAGTTTTAAATGCATAATAAGAAATTAGAACAATAAAATCTATCTAAACAAATAATAATATAATTTAAGTAAATCTATCACTGTTGTCAATAATTAAATAGGATGAATTTTGATATGGCATAGTCATTTAAATAAAAGACTTCTCATTAATCATATCAAGTGGGATTTCCAAATGCAATTGTGTTGAAACTTTCTTATATTATACTTGTTTATCAGAAGTACAGAAAATATTTTATTGGTCAAGTGGCTCCCAAACCACAATTTGTTTGACATGCCTGCTCTACAAATACCCTATACTAAAAATGATTTTTTTTTTTAAAAAAAATTAACTTTTATAAACTGTATTTACTGAATTGATTAAACAGAATTCTTAGGAACAAACTCTGCAGCATCAGGATTTAGCGTGCTCTAGAAAAAAAAAAATATTTTTAACACTAAGAAATAAAAATAAACCTGAAAATAAAAATAGGAAAGAGTATAAAATCAAAAGGTTGGGTGGGCAGCTTTGTGACTTCACCAGTAGAAGAAACATTGCAACCGCACTGCCGTGTTTGGATTGTATTCTAGTTAAAATCTATAGTGAAGTTAGTTATCTTGGGATTACCCTTGATTGTAAGTAGAAATGGTTAAGTCATATTGAAAAGATCTGTACTGAGAGTCTTCGCTGTTTTTGGGTTTGTTAAAGAGCTATTGGCAAATCCAGGACGCATAATAGCTTTATGGCTATATACAGCAGTAATTAGACTTTTAGTATAATACGCTTTCATAGCAAGGGCTCAGCAGATAGCTTACTGGAATTACCGTTACATGATGGATAAAAGCACCAAGTTATAGTAAAGGTACCTTAGAATATACTAATAAATGTTATCTACTTTTTACTATTAATTTTCAATTACAGCTTTATACTTACTAAGTATACTACAAACCTAACTTAGTCATTATCAACATAATCAAGTTCCTCTTTACCGCTTATGCAGTGTGAGACTGCTTTTTATAGAGCTTGGACCAGATGGACCTTTCCCGTACCAGCTCTCGTCTCCTGTTTCATTCTAAACCTCGCTTCTGGAACGCATCACACGCCTTCCTTCCAGGAAATTTGAAGTCTTTCTCCCGGTCTTCTCCTCTGCTTGCGCATCTCATATGTCTTCCTTGAGACTTTGTTACTAACCATATGGAGAAGGTACCCAAACCATCTTAACTTATGTTCTTATATTATGGTTTCGAACACTTTGACCTCAAGATTCGCTCAGATGGTTGTATTGTGAATCCTGTCCCTCCAAGTCTTTTCCTCCACCTTTCACAGGTATCGCATCTCTGGAGCCTGGATCTAGCTCCGGTGCTTCAAAGTAAGTGTCCAAGACTCAGAAGAATATGACAGTGTAGGAAGGAATACTGATCTGCAGACCGTCATCTTCGTTTCCTTGGTTACTTCTTTTCGGTTGAGAAAGCCTCTCCTAACTGAGCTGAACAATCTTCCTACAGCCTCTAATCTCTGCCTCACCTCCTCGTCCATATCCATTTTCATTGAGTTAAGCACCTAAGTATTTGAAACTTTCTATCTGCTCTAAACTCTCACCGTTGACCCTCAATACCCTCATAACCTGTGGGGTTTTCTTCTAATGGGCATGCATTTCGTCTTCTCAGGGTCAATTTCCATAATTATTTCTCTTAATTCTTCCAAAAGGGCGTTAATGTTGTTCTGGAGGTCACGGTCATTCTGGGCCAATACAACGAGGTCGTCCACAAACGCCGACAGAGAGTAGGCTGGATATCACTATAACCCAACTGGAAACTTCGCATCTCCTCTCTTGCTCTCCCCAACACCAGATTGAGAACCAGTACAAAAAGAAGTGGACTCAGGTTACAACCCTGTCATATGTCCAGTGTTGTTTTGAACTATTGAGAGTTATGATTTCTCATTTTAACAAGATTCCTGGTTTTTCTATATAAACTTGTAACGTTTAAACGTCAACTTAATGATAAAATTATAATGAAGAAGGGCTTACCCAATGGAGGGGGAGCGAGTTCTTTCTTATTGACTATTTCTTCTTTGCAAGTGATATTAATTATTTGATAACACATCCATAATTAGCCAATGTATTTATAATAGGAACAAATTAAAACAAATAATTAACAAAATAATCAAATATCGTTTACAGTCCATATCACAACTCCCGGTCTCTATAACCTTCTTTCTAAAAAAAAAAAAGTGTAATTACAACACCTGTTTTTTTTTTTTTTTTTAAATTCAATCTTTTATCATTTTGTCAACTGTGGCAAACTGCTTTCGGCCCTAATAAGTCCATTATTTACACGTTTCTCGACTAGAGCCTCAATGATATCTTTTTTCCTAACCCGCTCAAGACTTTGCAAAGATCCACGAAGCACATTGAGAGTTTTCTACCTTTCTCGACAATCTTCTCTGTGATTTGACGCATGGTGAAAATTAGATCTGTGTGCTTCTTTGACATGTGAATCCATATTGCTCCTCTCTGATCTTGGATTCTACAATGCTCCTGACCCTGACTATCGAGTATATTTTACTGGAAACACTAAGGAGCGAAATACTTCATTGATTGTTGCAGTAACTGTTGTCTCCCTTCTTATATATTGGCCCTTATATTCTTATACCTAACTTAGTGTAGCATAAATATTAAATAAAATACAGTAAAATATTTATAAATTGTAATATAAACATAAATAATGATTCAATACAGTAGAGCGATTTAAATATTTGGTGCGAAAATAGTGATGGGAACTACTTTAGATAAATGTACAATGAGGTGGAGGAATACAGGTGGAAGGGAGAGCAACAGCCATGTGCTTGAGCAGGCAAAAGGTAATCTGCTGGTGAGTAGTAAGGATCAAGATGAGGATCAAAATGTCCAAGAGTTGATAGAGGCCATTAGTGGAGATGGTTTGGTTTGGAGAGAGATTTGATACAGTGGTGCCTGCTAAAGATGCAAAAACACTCAAGAGGGAACTACTTTAGATAAATGTACAAATTTGGGTACAATCCTCACAAATTGTAAATGGGAATGTCTGTTTTGTTGTCAGAACTCTGAGATCGTGATGGCCGAGTGTGTTGGAGTGTTGCCCATTTTAGCATCCTCGTGCCTAGCGATGCCGGTTCGAATTCGGCCTGGGAGTGGTTGACTTTTATTTCTCCGTGGTCCCATAGAATGAAACTTGACCCCCACCCCACTTTGGTTAGAATAGAGTTGGTTGTACCTCTAGAACAACCTTCCTCCTCCCTTCGTATGCTAGAAATGGAGAGTAGGGAGATACCCAATAAAAAAAAGTTGTCAGAACCCGGCCTGAGTAATATTTAAAGAGTCCTCACAAATAGTTTAAAGTATTTGTGTGCTAAATAAACAGTTTTTGTCCAGAAACGTTTTGTTTAGGTACGCCCGAAAAACGTAACCTTGCAACAGGCTCTCCACTATGCTAGAGCATAGCATGATTTATCATAACTGTTGCATATTGAAATCCAATAGATAAATAGCAATAAATATTTTTGTTTTATTATTTTAACTAATGAATCTTTGTAATCGATGAGGAAACAGATTCTCCAAATTTGAGTTTTTACATTGATACATAATTTATGATACGTAGCATCCGTGAATTGAGTTTAAAAAAAAATTCATTCGTGCCTTTCCTCCAAGACCATTTAACCAACTTTCTTTATTTTATGATCCTAGAAACTCAACATTACTATCTGCTCCTTTGTTACAAAATGGCGACCAAAAAATAACTACATTTCTACAGATATTTTTACTAAAAAAAGGTTCTAAAACTATTTTCATAATGCATTTTCTAAAATGTAAAAATAGTTTACATCAGGACAGTACTGTTAATTAAGATAGAGAGTTCTGAACATGTTTTTAGTTTAATATTTTCAATAATGATTCTTTTTAAACTGACAAAGAAATAAAAAGCTAACTTTCCTCAACATTTGATCCAATATACATAGAATCTGAAAATATAATAAAATTTCACCTTATTCACCTTATTGAAGTTCCTTAAATTTTTATATATTTAGTTGTGATATTTTTAAAAATTAAATAATAAAAAATATGATTTTTATTTCTTAAGATGTTATATTAAATTTTATGTGGATGCTGAGGGCTTAAATGGTTTGTGGACTGTGAATTATTTGGGATCTAATAAACGACATTGATACATTAAACATTTTATTTAATCTAAAAACAAATTTTATAACAATCTAATTAAAAATAAACAATACTTTCCTTTACTATATATGTCATATATAGGTAACTGAGAGTAAAAATATAAATTACTATTGTTATGGCTTCTTGATACAGTCTCTCAAGTAAATTTGATCTCACATAGATTACACTGCAGCATAATCTTGATACTGATACTGATACGTCACTTGAAACTAGTCTTCATATAAGCTCGACTCCTGTAGACATATTTTCTCAAGAGCATTTCGGAACAAACAGATGATGCATTCTAGCCCGCGGCTGGATGAAGACTGGGCTGAGTGTAGAGTTAGGGGTTGGGTCCACCCCTCCAAAATATTTGTAACATGTGTACATACATACATATATAAATAAGCAGTGCAACAATTCATTGCTGAATCAGGGCCCTCTCCAAAAGTTTTCATCATTCATCCCTATTCTCCGCAACAGCCATCCAGTCCTCTATTCCAAGAATATTCCCGGCATCTGCATGGACGCTATCTATCTATCTTGTTTTGGGTTGCCCCACTCTTCTAGTTTGAAAAATCCTGGTGAGATGTCTCGCTCATACGAGCCACCTCACACTAATCCATCGAGCAATATCTGTGTGTTCTTGAAGAGTGCATAGATCTCCCGATTTTTCCTACTTCTGCATATATTACCTCCCTATATCAGACCAAAAATTCTTCTCAATATTGTCCTTTCAAAAATCAGCAGCTTATTTTCATCAGCCTTATTCCACGCCCAAGAGCTTCAGATCTATACGCGAGGACCTCATTTTGGTCTCATTGGTAATAAATATACTTTTAAATTGTTTAGAGAGACCAAAATAGCACATGATTGTTGCTGAGATCCAACATTTAATATCTTGCACCATCCGAATTCATCTCTTCCTTGTTTTCTGCCAATCCTCATAGTTTTTTTTTCACATTTATTTGCATATTTATCTTATTTAATTCTTCCTGAAGAATGCAGAGGTTGAATTGCAGGTTTCGTCCATTGCTTCCGAAAACTACCAAATCGTCTGCATAAGCGAACAGAGACAAATTACAGGCTGTAGATTTCTGTATCCCATTTGATATGATCTCATATTATGCTTTGCTATTTTTTATATTTTATATACTATTTAAAAAATAACAAAATTCTTTATAATACCAAAACTATGAACGAAATCGGACTACTTGTTGTTGAGTTATAGCAGTT